AGTAACTAAGCATACTTGCAGAGCCGTGACGGTGTTCAGTATCTGAGAAACGTCCCGCATATCTCAATAAAATGGCAACTCTTCGTTATCTCGCTGCCAGTACTGGTGGCGTCGGTGCCGAGGCACTATTACGTCATGATCTTGGGTCACCCTCAGAGTGTGCTGGGGTCCTTCTCGCGTCATTCCTCTCGGTCTTTCTCAATGGACTCCTATGACTCTGATTCCTCATTTGAGGAGATTGAAGAGCAAGAGGATGAGCACGAAGAATTGTAATACTCGCCATCACACTCTATGCATATTGCTGACTTTCTTGTTAGATGTTCAATTTGCGAAGAACGGCTCCTGGACCCCAGTTTACTATATTTGCATCATACGCAAAGACATCCAGACAGTTCATTTGGCTGTCCTCTATGCCAGATTCTGTTCCCTGATCCTGCTGAGGAGTTGGCTCATGCACGTCTCCACCATGTAGTTGTTTCTCTCGGTAAGTCAACTTTCCTGCCTGTTTGGCGCACTTTTGATTATTTTGAAGGCGAGGCAGAGGTACCGCTCATTGGGTCTGATTACAGCTGCCCATTGTGTCCTTCGATTCCCGCCTTGTCCTTATGGCATTTTGGCCTCCATGCCGAGCTACAGCACTCTCAGTCACTCACGCTTCCAGGAGTAGATTCGAGGCTCCCATTGGGCAATGGCCTCACCTATCACCCCCGATTCCAGCTACTTTTGTGTGATGCGACCCGTCAAGCTCTGGATGTCACCCATACTCCCCAAGAACGCCCGTTGTCCAACCACTTGCGTCAGTGTGGCCATCATGACGACTGCGCAATCGATCGCGTTCTGGAGATTGTTTCACGGCACCATATCCCTACACCTAACACCAATACTCGTCTTCCATCTGGTCCCCATCCTATCTTGCCATTCCTTGGAGAACCGGTTCCTGGATATATTTGTCCACACTGTCAACATGGTTTCCCGTCCGTTGGGGCCAAAGGGGGTAAAGATCCATACAAGAGCGTTCGTGAACACTACCAGATCCACCGTTCGACTGTCCCTTGGGACAAGAGCCACGCCCATCCTGTACAGCTCCAGCGATGGTATCCTCCGGACAAAAAAACCCGATATAGTCCGATCACAGCCTCTGGCTCGACACCCGTTCCTTGCTCCCCATGGGTTATTGTTTCGGAATCTCCAACCTATTCGCCGTCTCAACAAATCGTCCATCTGAACTCCCTTCTGCAGCCCCTCTCCCCTCCTGATCCATCCGTTATTGACAGCCGGGACATCAGCTCTATCGTTGAAAGGATGGGTTGGAAGCGATTTGCCACGCGCGATCTGATGCAGCAGCATTTGCAGCTTCTCTCGGAGACGGCTTCGACTGGCATCAGTGGATCCGATTTAGACGGGCACCGTTTGCATCTCTGGTGCGAACGGTATTTGAAGTACATCGAAAGTCAGTTGGACAATGTGCCCCACAATCTACGTTTCGAACTGGTTCAAATCTCGCAGTAAGTTTCTTCCTCGTGTTTTCTCCATTCTGCTCATCTCCACCAGACCAGACGCAAGGAGGCCATTCACTGCTTCAGCATCAAAGGGTACTTTCAACACCCGGAGCCGTCACCTCTCGAATGCTCTTACCTTTTCTTGTGCATTGCATGCTGTCCAATCCGATGGCATTGTGCCTGAACGTTGGCAGTTCCCATCCGAAAATTGCTGGGTCGACTACATTGGGTGTCTCCCAGATAACCTCTGGGTCGCGATAGAGAGATTTAAGCGAGCTCTCCAGGACGATGACCTGAGTGAAAACGAGGGATGCATGGTCATTGGTGATGTTTGGTGTGAGCTGTGGGCGGAACACACCAATTCCAGACAGTCAAACTGGGATACCCTAATGGAACGATTCATATTTACCTCTTCCATCGCTGTCAAGTCTCAGAGAAGCACCGTCTACCATTTTCAGCGGCCAGATGCCATGGCCTCTACCATGTCTCATCTGACGTGGCTTGCACGGACGACTGCTATCTTTGGTTACATTAAAGATCGCAACGCGCATCGATCATCTCGGGAGTTGGAACAGTACGTAGGTTCTGATTGTTTAGGGATGATACTGACGATTTCTCAGGGGGTTCAAATCCCTCCTTCTCCACCTCGACACTGCATCCTCGACACCCTTCTCCCGGCTGCGCTACCTGGCCAAGTGGCTTTCGGGCATTGTCCGGGTCAAAGGCTCACTGACTCCCAATGACTATTTCGCCTGGCCCAAGTCTGCGACCTACACCTCGTTCTTCTGGAAGAGTGCCTTGGTCGACGTTTCCATTATCCGCGCAATGCCGGGAGAAAGTGTCAGGCAAGTGAGACATGCACTGGAAAGATTGTACCATTATGCAGCTCCGGGCTGGGACCCGACGAAGCTGCGAGAGAGGATCCATCGTGGACTTCAGGTGGCTGGGTCTGGTTATTTCGTTGACCCAGTTGAATCCTTGGATTCCTTTGTCGATCTTCCTTTGAATGGGCTGTTCGTCTTCAATGATGAGCTTTTGGAAGCCATCTCACAGCATCATTCCCTCACCGTCCAGGTTGCCCAAAAGATGGTCATCAATACAACGCTTGTTCATCAGTTCCTCAAGTTTTCATCAGGGCTCAATCAGGTGAGGTCATACCAGTTCTTCATCGGCCTTTTGAATAATCTTTCCCAGGCGCTGATGGTGGCAACCCATTTGTGCGTCGGCACGGTAGCAAGGGGAACAGAGGTCGTTGGACAGACGTACCGGGGGACAGAGATCGGGGGTGAGCAGTCGTTCCGACTATGTGCTGGAATGGGTTCTCTGGTCTCCATTTATATGAAAACGCGGCATCTCAATGGGGCTCAAAGAGTTGTTAGATTCCTTCCTGACGAGCTCACTGCATTCCTTATTGAATATCTCGTCGTCATCCGTCCCGTGGAATCCAAGTTTGGGCAACTGTTCTACAACCATCAGGTCGCGCATGACTATCAACGCTTTCTTTGGTTACAATACGGACGGAGGGTACCGTCAATTTCCCTCTCCATGGGTATTGGTCGAATCACTGAGATCGTTACTGGCGGGGTCCAACTTGGCATCAAATTCAACCTCCACATGTGGCGACAGGTTTCCAAGGCCATTCTGATCGGTGTCGTGTTGAGGCAGACCCATCAAATGTATGCGTTCACTCAGATGGACGAGGTCCACCCCGCCATTCATTATGGGTTCGGTCACTCAGATATTATTGGTGAGACGAGGTACGGTGTCGATGCCTCGAGGTTTTCGGCCATCAGTGAGGGAAACCTGCTGGCAATGCAGGATCTCTGTCAGAGATTCCACATCTGGGCAGGTCTTTCCAGTGAATGCTTGGTGAGAAGGTTCATTCTATCGTTATTATCCATGTTGATGTCGCACAAGATTCCTCCTCCTGCTCCGCTGGCCCCATCCATGGATCCCCAACCTCGTTCCATTCTGGATTCTAGACAGGTCTTTGATGATATGTTCCGTGAAAAGCAACAAGAGCTGATACGGAGTATGAAACGAACCGTCCCCGCATTCGACCAGTCATCTGGATGCACATTCACTGGGGATCATGTGCCCCCACTCAATGCTAGTGTTCTGGCGTACCTTCAGGACATCTATGGACGGCCTACTACGGTCAAGTCCATCGCCCAGGCACAGTTCCTCACCTGGCTAATGACCACCCAGAATGACATCATTGCGGTCCTCCCAACAGGAGGAGGGAAATCTTTATCGTTCCTCCTTCCCGCACTAATGGAAGAAGGCGACTCTATCTCCATCGTCATTGCCCCATTTGTGGCCATCGAGGTTGACTATTGCCGCAAGCTCATGGACCTTGGTATCCCCTATTGTCAGTGGCCAGCTCAAGTGGAGGCCACTCATCGTGTCATCCTAGTCACGTTGGAAGCTGCCAATCATGATGAGCTGCTCTCTTTGGCGCGTCATAGCCCACGAATTACCCGGCTCGTTCTCGATGAAGTCCATCTTGTCTGCCTTTGGTCTGCCTTTCGGCCCCAGTACTGTCTTCTCAAGAATTGGATGACAGTATCCATCCAAAAGGTGTTTCTGACAGCGACGTTGCCCCCTAAGATGTACAGTGAGCTCGCTTCCCTGTTGGGTCTGGATGCTCGTCGCACAGTGGTTGCACGAGACTCTCATACCCAGCGACCCGAGGTCCAATACCGGTTCGAACTGTCTTCTGATGTAGACCAGAGTGTTGTGTCGATAACCCGAAAGTACCTGTCGACACTTGAGAAAGGTCAACGGGTCATTGTGTTTGTGAGGGAGATATCTGATGCTGAACGAATTGCGGACCTTCTTGTTGATGATCAACAGCGCCCGATTGTCTACCACTCCCAGGTGCAAAGCCGCCAGGATCGCTATTGGGATTGGTATCGCGGGAACCAGCCCATTTTGATCGGCACTAGTGGGCTCTATCATGGGATCGATCATTCTTCGGTTGTGGCTGCAGTATTCCACGACTTTCCAGAGACCATTATCGAGTTTGCACAGGCGAGTGGACGAGTGGCCAGGGGCCTCAAGTTTGGTGTCTCTCATGTTGTCGTTCCCATGCAACAGCATCGATTCGCCTTTGGGGACCCAGAACGCCAGCAACTATTGTCATCACTCACATTGCCGTTGGCGGAGCAACCTTGCCGGCGACTAGTGTTGGGGCAGGTTTTGGATGACAAGCCGCTTACATGCCTGTACGTAGTTGACTCTGCCCTCTGCGATGTTTGTGAACTTCATAAGGTGAGTTGGGTTTATATGTGATCCTTTGCGGGGCTCATGTGTATTTTCCAGGAGCAAAGACATTCGCAATTTTTGGTATCCGGTACAAAGATACCGCCCCAGCATCTCCTTGAAAACCTTCTCCAACCCACTCAAACACCTAGTCATGTCCCCATTCCATTTCCCCTTCCCAAGCCACAGCGCCCTCACCTAATAAAGAAGAGGCCCCCGCCACCCACGATTCCAAACATGCCGATAGCTAACTCGATCGAGGAACGCTGGCCGCTCTTGCCCTCGATTCTTCCTTCATGCCTTGTCCAGCCAGAGTCTATCCCGGACAACGGACCCCCGCCACATGTCCCAGTGATGGACAAGTCACCTTCCATTCCTCTTTGGTGTTTTGAGCCTGCTCCACCTCCGTATTCCCGCTCCTCTCCTATCCCAGCCGCTATCCCGATCGATGAATCACCTACGAACGATGCGCCATCACACTTGCCTTCCGTCCCACTTTCCTGTCTCATCGCTCCCAATGTGCCCCCTTCCAAGGAACCCTCGATGGGTTCCAACATGGGTTCCGAAGGTGTAGAACCCCGCCGCTCATCATCACCAGAACGGCTACTTGGCATTCCTTATCTCGAGGGTGCCAGGCTTTTGCCATTTGAGGACAATACAGCCAATCGGGATGATCGCTTACCGTCTATCCCGGCTTGCTGCCTTATCGCTCCTCAGGCAGACTCTCTGATGGGTGTCTGCAGTGACGTGGTGAACGATCCCGTGTTGTTGGGTTGGGAAGTAGGAACAGGTTTTTCTGAGCAGGTATCCCCTACCCCCTCCACGATGCTTGACGCCCTGCGTGGTTCCAACGCCCATGAAGTCTTGTCCCGCTTCCACAGAGGATGCATTCTGTGCCTCTATCAAACCGGGAGGGAAGTCCACCACGCATCTCAGCTCAGCGTGGCTCCGATTTCAAGACCGTGTCCTTTTTATTCTCTCGGCACTCCATACGAAGTCTTCAAGCAGGGTCTCCATGGTGCCACTCCGTCATGCGTAGCTTTCCATCGAACCGTTGTTAGTGAACAAACGTATTCATATTGCGGTTGTTGCTACATTGACAAATGCCGATGTCACCCACCACATCACACGTTTTGTCATGCAGATGAGTCTTGCCCTGGGATAGATGATTTGGATGAACGAGAATGGTATCAGCGTCTTCTTTATCTCGCTTTCCGTCAATGTTGGGTGAGAGACAGAGTGGCACCCCACTTTGGGCACTCTTGTGAGTCCCCAGGATTGGGTATGGACAACAAGACAGTGGGAGAGTGGGGACGTTGGGCAGCCCATGTGTCAGCCGAGGGTATGAGACGCGGTACCATTGTAGCGGCCTTGGCATGCCAAGAGCTGCACCTGACATCTTCCTAGTGAACATTTGTAATACGACAAACTATTGTCGTGGTTATGACAAGGCAAGTGGCGACGATGCGGGTAGACCAGCACCGCCGAGCCACAAAAGCTTATGTTTCCACTTGTATTTACAGATGATATCTAACGAATAAGCATGCCCTTTGTACGTGTTTTGCTTCCATACTTGAGAGAGACTAACGTTTACATCACCGGTCACTCCTCGATTGTATGAATTGACCAAGATTGTTAAAGTATTTGTGCTATTTACACTAGTACAATCATGTATTACGCATCATGGGTTCGCAACCAAGTTCTCGTCCTTTGTATATATCGCTGTGCATTGACCTTGGAGAAATCAAGAAAGGAGACTGAACGAACACTTGACTCTTGAGGCTGTGTTTTCATTCATGCATGAATGTTATTGATCCCGACGTCGCAATGTGAATTTGATCCCGCTCCCTTATATAAACCCGATCTGATCTCGACCCCCCTCCTCATATCTTCTCTCTGCTCTCCCTCCTCGTCTATCTCTGCTCTATCTCTATCTCTCTTAGTCTCGAATATGTCCCATAGTACGCTTCCACAATGGGTCACTTTCCGCCACTCTGATATTTCCTCCTAGGCCAGAAACGCGCGTTGTCCCCTGCTGCCAACTCCGATCCTCCTCTCAAAAAGTGTCGATGCCATGACGACGCACCACTTACGCCGTCCACATCCTCCTCACCACATCCATCCTCTATACCGCCCATGTCCTCCACGTCCTCCCCGCCACACTCATCCTCTACCCCGCCCACGTCCTCCTCCCTGCTACATCCATCCTCACCAGCAGACGCGTCCTTCATGGCAGACGCGTCCTCCAAGGCAGCCGTGTCCTCCGCGGCAGACGTGTCCACCGCAGCAGACGTGTCCAACGACGCGCCCACTATCCCAGATGTAAATCGTTTTTCATTTCCACCCCTCCATACTCATTGATTTCCGTAGAGTGTTACCACTCTCACCTCGGCAATGCATGACAGCGGATCAAGGTTCACCATCGTCGGGATAGTTCAACATAAATCAGGTGTCATGCCCTACAGGGGAGGGGGTGGATGTGAGTTCTTGTTGTTTGGTTTAATACGCTGCTGACTTTTCCAGTTTTCATGGAGTTTTTGCTTGCAGATACCACTGGGGGTGCGTTGGTTGAAGTGGCTAAGATGGATGGCAGCCTCCTTCCGAAAGATGCTGAAATTGGGGACGTATTGTGTGTCGGTTCCTGCAAGGTGACGTTAAATGTTTTTGCTGAGTGTATGTATTTATTTCTTCCCTTAGCTGCACAAGAACCGCGACCGTTTGATTTCCTATGCCGATCGGAGCACATACCGATACTGGTCGATCCGGTTGCAACGCTGGATGAATTTCGGGTTTATGAATCCCAGGGCATTCAAGGCGATGAGGAATCGGGACGGCCAATTGGACGCTAATCCATATACCAAGTTTACATCTGAGGTGTCAGGGTATGCGCGTTATTTGCCCGTCATGATGGAGACGCCTCGGGCATGCAGTAAGTTTGAGTTCATTTCTGGTCCTTGGTGCTATTTACCGTCTTTCTCTCAGCTGCTCAACGATGTTACTCGTTGACTTGGGAAGGGGACTCGTCGGGTTGGAGAGAGGTTAAAGGGGAACTGTCTGTGCTCAATACCGATCCACCACAGATGTGGTACTGTCTCGAATGTCAGGTCTTGTACGTCCAACTTTAATTCTATTTTCATGTGCTTATCACCCGTATAGCACCCACCCTGGAACCCATTGCATTCGGCACCCTGGTAGCAAGCCCGCGCTAGTGTGGTCTGGGATCTTCCAGCTGCATGGGGACGAAACCACGGAGATCCATATGTGTGGAGCGGTAAGGATTCGTAGCTCATGGGTTCTGATTATTTATTGACTCCCTTAGTTTGCGGACATTTCAACTGGAGAGGGTGACACAGCAGAGGAGGCCCTCTCTAGTTGGATGGAAAAGGTTGTCGACGTCACGAGTTGCATGTGTGGTTCATGCAAGGTGACGACTACCCTCCAGGTAATGGATATCTCGGCAAAAATCCAAGGGCCTAAAGGCACCAACCGAGAAGACCGATGCATCGTGCGCCCCTTCCACATCCTTCGTGAACACTAATCATCTTGTCCGCATCATATCGCCATGTTCTTTCACGGTAGTCATCTCTCTCCCGTACGCTCATCATTTCTTGCCACGAGATAAAATCGTGTATTTTTCATGTCATATAAATATGCGTAGCCGCAAAATTAAATATGTTTTACATCAGTACCCAAGCCTAGTTGTCCGACCCATGTCCGCAAGCGAGGTCCTCAGCTCTGGATGATAAGGATCATGACCGTGTGGCTTATGTTAATATGCATGGGCTTGCCCAATGAGCGACATACAGTTCAGAGAAAGAACTTTACCCACTGGGCTCCAAAGGCACAGAAGGCATACACCGTGTTCACCTAGAATTATTATAACATGTCAAATGCGACGCAAAGGAAGTGGGAATCGTTGTGAGGACTCGGGAAGGCTCAAGGAGGCTCACCACTTTAGATATGGGGAAAAAGGTTGCCTATCATGTATGGAGGGTGTTAGCCGGTGAAGTTTGTAGCATCCGGGACCAGCCGAAAGCTTCCTGCAAAAAAAAAAAACATGGCTCCGTTCCTCAATCGAAATACCACTCGGCGAAAGGGAGCCAGGAGTCTGCGTCGGATCGATCTTCATGTGCGTGGTACTAGCCGGCATAGAAATCATCCTGGGCATCGTCAGGCTGATCACTGACAATGTCGCACAGGCGTGCTCGTCGTCGCTGTATTTCCGGCACTAACTCCACCTACCTCGTCTTTGACTCTTCCCTGGATCATCCGATTCCCCGTTCCTTCCTCCATCTCCTCAGCATTCGTTTCCTTCTGGACAACGTGCGACCCTTGGGCACCTCAATCTGTTGGAGTAGCAAGAGGGTGCGTATGGTTTGTTTCCAGTCCCAACTCGTGCAGTGAAGACCACTACTGATCCATTTTGGAAACGGTTTTGACCTCTCGTCTCTCGATGGGTGCTCCACAGCAGCTCGAGTCTTTCCTTGACTCTTGCCATGAGGAACGAGATTAATATAACTTGCTGGCCATGGCGTTTTTCTGTCATCCACTGCATGCCTCATTGGTACGATAACAAACAGCTGTTAATCCGGCAGCCGTATTGTCAAGTTTTTGTATGGAGTAACGTTTCTCGTGAAAAGATGACAAGTACCTGCTCTCGTTCCTCGATCGGGTAATTAGTCATCATCATGCTCGTAGGTTCCCTTTGAATCCTCCTTGTCCTCCTTCATCTCACCTTCCTGACCACCATTCCATCAATTATTGTAGCATTTGACATCCCAAGCCCAAACGCGTTGTCATCCCCACAGACTTTGAGGATTTCTTGGTCAAGCTGACTAATTCTGCTGCAGTCTGTTCAACTTGCGGCTTGGTGGTTCCTTGGCGAGTGCCATCCTTGGTGAGACGTATGGCCATCAATTGGGAATCGCAGTATGTATGGTTTCTCATTCTGCCATTTTATTAACGCCGATGTCTCTGGGTTGTAGCTCAGCTTTGCCGCCCTCCAGAGCGATCAGAATAATGCTGTCGATACCGTTCTTGCAAAACTCACCCACTCCTCCCTCGCCCAATTTCATGGCAACCTCACACCTGTAACACTTGTTCTGCGTGACACCCTTGAACAGATCTGTCAGTCGATATGCGAATAATGCCATCTGCCATCATTCCCTTTACCATGTCATCCCTATCTACCTGCGCACTTCCGCTATCGTCAGTTTTAGCAAACTCGACATTGCGCACCGCCCCTCTCCTGGTCATAAAGCGCCCAAGTGCCCTTCTCGTCAATCCCACATGGGTTCCTTCGATGTTTGGCACCCCACTTTTTCCCCGAATTTTTCTGGGATGTGCGCTACCGCTACCCAAATGGCCGCATGGGTTGGCCATGGTTCGATTTCTTCCTAAATGTTCAGCACCTTTCTCTGGGCCAAGTGCAAAGATCGCCCGGGGTGGCCTGCGATCTAACGGGTTGGGTTTGATCTGAAATTGGTGCATTGTTCCATGACAGTACAATTGGGTTTGCTAAAATGTTCTTAGGATCGTATGCCCGTTTTTCCTAATATCTCGTTCTCATCGCTCGCTACATCCAACCGGCCACATCCCCTGGCTGTGACGGTTCTCTTGGAGATGTCGTGCCCTCCCACCACCTTACCGTGTCACCGCAACTGCCTACCCTGATGCTGTCTACCACCCACTCGGTGCATCGATTTCGGATGCATCTGACCCGACGCTTCTTGCAAGTCCCGTATCCAATGGCTGCCCCGTCATCCCACGTCACTGGGTTCTTCAAAAGTCCTCGTTCCTTGATCAAGGAATCGGCCTTGTTCAGCGCCGTGATACCAGCCTTCTCCGTCAACTGTTTTGAGGGTCGGGACCGGAATGATGGGTACATTTCTTCCCATATGCCTCTGACTCGCTGTATTGATGCTCATCGATACCCTCAGGCATACACTTATTGCTGATGTGGCTTGCTCCTGGAGGGCCGATGGTTAGGACTCGTTGTACCAGCTTGCCCATTTCTTCATTACGTAGGGGCTGGATTTAAGTGGGTTCAATCTGGTCAGTGTATATATAAAAACAAACAAGAATTCAGTCAAGAGGAAGTGAATCTCATGAGCATAGATGGAAACCTTTGGTTTGTTGGTGTCTGCAACACAAACCGCGGTCTCCTGCGTTTGTGTCCACGAAGGTGAATGTGCGGGTTTCAGTCAACATGTTCGGTCCCTTGCAAAATAGCGACCTGATTAAGGCGCATATGTTATGTATCATACTTATTGTTCCACTAGTTCTTCATAGCCATCAGTGAGGGCGCGGACAATGCTCTTAGTAATTATGCAGACCAAACACAATAAGTATAGTGCTAAGTATCAGTATAAGATGAATCATGACGCGACAGCTGGTCATTGTCCCTTTCCAGATCTCGAAATGATCAACGCAAATCACGGTATTTCGGAAGGTGGTAACGCTGCGGATCACGACAGTGGCACTCTCAGATTGCCAGATAGTTGGAACCTCCCCAGATCCGCTCTCGTCCCCTTTTTTCTGGTATGAGAGTGGTCTTCCCGCAGAGAATCGTGGTAAATGACGGCAGAAACTTCTCCAGTAGTCTTACGTTTTCGCGTTGAGGGCGAATCGGTTGGGGTGGGTTGCGTGTTGCGTAGGGTGAAAAGACGGTGTACTGGCTAGGGGCGATAAGCTGCTGAGCAATCCCGTATCCCCGCTTGCATGTTCTGGCGGAGCCACTGCACGTTCGCGCTTGCGATAAGGCCCTCACTTTGCGCTCGTTATCCTCTTTTTTCGCTCAGAATCTGTGCAGTCGGATAAACCGTAACATACGCAGCGACCACATGGCCCTTGCACGCCTTTTGGCAATTAGTACATGCATTTTTGATCTGCGTGCGCTTCGGTTTATCTGATGGTGAACCAGAATGACATGTATGGATAAGGGTAGTAGACTATGGGTAGCGGGGATGATTGGTTGCCACTTTGGTTTTCAGCTGTGGTAAGGGAGACTTCAGAAACTCGCATACTGGGCAAATCGATCACACGCACTCGTGAACCCCGGCTGGTTGGCCGTGGTTGGTTGGTTGTGGGTTTCCGAAGTTGACGGTGCCGCTCTGGAGCGGATGGCGTTAATTATGGGATTCAAGAATGAGAGCGTCGTTGGTGATGCTCAGGATTGTACGAGATTCCTGCATCGTTTGTCAATGCTCGATCGAGGAGGAACAGTGCCATTGCCCTGATCATGTCGATGCCTCGAAGCTTCCTCAAAGCTAGGCATCCCTACCCGACGATTATGACCTCGAAGAAAGTCTCAAAAACTCACACCATTGAAAGCCTTCCTACCACTCTCGCAAGCCCCGCGTCGAAGAGAATCGCCTGCACATCGAACCAAACATGACACGCAATCTCTTTCAACAACGACCAGGCTCGTCTTCTGGGTTTTCGGCGATGGTTACGATCGTACTATCGGTGTCGACATCGCGTTGAACAGGGATGTCGAGGATCTTAAGAAAGCAATCAAAGAAGAAATAAAGAAAGCATTGGAACACGTCGGCGCTGAAGCACTTGTCAAATTCGATGACAATTTTGAGGAAGCGCTCAATCTCACCGAACGACCACTATCAGGCCGGAGGGAGTTGGGACCGCTCTTTTTGCATAAATCTCCCAATGCTGCTCGTTGCCTCGATATCGTGGTAATACCCAGTGGTGCGTTCTCATAGGCGCCGAATGAGGGGCTGGGACTTGCCGTGTGATGGAAAATTTTTCATATTTATTTGGATTAGTCAGTTCCTCCTTTCTTCCCTCTTAGCTTCGTCTGTTGTCCGTTTGTTTGTTTGCCGTTTGTTTGTCCGTTGTTCATTTGTTTGTCCGTTGTTTGTTTGTCCGTCCATCCGTCCGTCCATCCGTCTGTCTATCCCTTCATTCCTCCCTTTTCCCCCTTAGCGCTAAGCAGCTGCAACGAACGGGTGGGCTTGGCTCGCCTGCCTGTTCAGTTAAAGCTATAGCCATTTGATCTTGATCATTGGCTACCTGAGGCCCTCGACGCGCTGGTCATCGATGGCTGGATCCTCTCTGGGGGCTAATGGGAAAGCGTCTAAGATTTCTTCCGTCCGCACCTTTACCACCCATTCAGATTTCCGTCTGCAAGTTCATCATCCGATCAACCCTCGTGCAGTTCATCAAACATTGGGTATCCCGTCAATTGGGTTTCAGGTGGTTGTACATCGCATCTCTTTTTTCTCTTATTACCAAAGGATTTTTTTCTTTCTTTGTTATCTCATCTGGATGAAGCGCTGACTCTTGTTGCCTCCACGCCCCTCACCATGGGTCTCTGAAATGGAGGCCACCGGCTGATGCATACTGAGGTCGTTGTCACCCCGCTGCAGGGGTGCATGGGTATGACGTATGCATGGTAATGTACCGATCACTCATCATCTTGTTGCTGACATTGATGTTCCATAGGGCTCCGGGCTCCTTTTTATTCTTTTTTCCTTTTTCATTCTTCTCATGATACTTCATTGGGGTGCACCTGGACTGCTGAACGTCAACCTGACGAAGCTGTCTTGCCAATGAATGCGCTTTGGCTGAAGGCCAAGGCCCTGACCATTATCTTACACCAATTTATTATTTTTATTTTTTATTTTATTCCACACTGGACACGACACGCGACTACCTGATGGGTTTGAGTAGGGGGGCAAGGGAAGCGAGAAGGATGTGTCTAACACGTTGGTGGTTGTGATGCGGAATATGTATTGATGGAAACAACTGTATGTGATATTATATAGAAGCAGGGACACGTAACCGTACTTTGAAGTCACATGATGTAATGTAATATCGCGCTTGGTGAAAAAAAAAGTACTGCGGAGTTGGTGTAACACATTTGTCTCTTTGCCTCACTATGAAGGCTCCTAAGATCCGCTCCCGGGCCAAGAGGGACCAATATCGACAAGCCGGTATTGGTCCAAAGCAGTTCAGAGCCATGCCTCGGTAGGTTTACCGTTCCTTGGCGTTCCATTTAAGCATCAACGTTCAACTAGAGAAGAGGCAGTAGAGGCTCACCGCCAGCGTATGGAGGGTATTGATGACCCACAAGTACGCAGAGAGGTTGAAGCAGCGGAAGAGCTGGTGGACTCCACCATCTTTAAAGCGCTGAAAAACACTGGTAAGTTTTAGGATATTTTCCCGTCCACTTTCGCCTGACCAACTTGCAACACAGTGCAGTTGGATATCGATTACGCAACTGTAGCCATGCACAACGACGAGGCTACTCCGCCCTCGAAAAGCCAAGCCAGACCCATCGAGCTGGCGCTCCCCACTATGACACCGGAACAAATGGCCGTTCTTCGTCATCCCGATGGTGCGGCGATCGAGGACCGGTCAGGGGTCCTTCTTGCGATCCGTCTCCCAAACGTCCTTATGGGTATTCATGTCTGTATTTAACCGTTCATTGCTGTTCATTATTGACACGTTATCCAAGGAAAACATGGTTAATGCTGGCCACAAGTTGAGCCACACGTACAAGTTCACCCGCGACCAGTATCGCGCTACTTTCAACACCGCTTCGTCCGATCTCTTCAAGAACGGCCAAATCCAGTACGGCTATCGGTATCAGATTGGGCGAACAGTGAGTGAACTTTCTATCGTGTCATGACAGAGGTTAACAAATTTGCAGGATATTCCCCCCGGCATCACCAAGGATGCGCGGCAATGCGTGGAGCAAAGCCACGCTTTCCACAAGCAGAGCGAGGCCTTTCATCACATCCTCAATCAATATTTGGAGAGGCTTGCCCCAAACCTGTCACGACAAAGTCGCCGCATGTGGGATTCTATCCGCCGCGATCGAGACCCGGAAGGTTACTTGGCACACATCAAGTGCCATTTCTTCAGCCAATTTGTCCGATTCAACGCCGGCACCAAATTCCATGCGGATAAGCGATCTTGTTGGTCCGGCTTCGATGCTATTGCCGTTTTTGGAGAGTACGATGGGGGAGAACTCCAGTTTGAGGATCTCAAATGTGGCTTCCCGTCTCGCCCTTCGGATCTATTCTTCATCCGTGGTGCAGGCCTCCGCCACGATGCTGCGTCTTGGTCAGGAAGTGGGCGAATGGTGATTGCCCTTTTTTCAGATCGGCGCGTCTTTTTCCACGAGTCTGTTGAGAGGCCCAGGGATCTTTACCCAGTTTATGGGAAGACCCACAAGGCTTTTCGTCGGCAGCACCCGTGTACGATGGCTACATGAAGGCCGTTTCCTCTTCCGCTTATTGTCAAATACAATTCCTTAAATAACAATCGCGTTGATGAGCATGATGAGTTGAGGTCCGTCTGCACGTTGACAGTTTTTTCGCGCTGGATCCAGGACTTTCACTTGAGTTCATTTTTCGGAATGATCAACGCCGTCTACCCTTTCAGTGTACCCAGCCGCACGCATCTGACGGTTCTGCGACCTCCTTTCTACATGCAAGCGATCCTTAGTCTCATAGCCGCTATCCAAGTTGCACAACCCGTCACATTGAGATGTCATCCTACTGCTCCCTCTGCACCCTGACGCTGTCTACCCTATTCTACATGAGTCTCTAGTGCATTGAATTCAAAGCATTCCATCTGACCCAACGTATCCCACGGCGCTACCTGCAACCCCTTCGTTCTCCGCCATTTCGCACTTCCACCGTGCGTTCTTGGGCTTAAAACATAGACTTGATTTAGTTGTCCAGACCCCCAAATTTTTGTTCTAGACGGTCGTCTCGTTGAGGAGATAAGGGGAGGAAGAAAGTTTTTTCATTCGTACTCGGGAACTCGTGGACGAGATACACGACAGCCATTTTTGGTGCAAGTTGGAGCCTGGGGGTTTAAAAAAATATTAAAAAATCCCACATACTTGTTAGGATGCCATCCTGTCATTTAAATATTTTATATGATTTTTTCCACTGCTGACTTTTGCGAATGTTTCGATGTGCGCTCAGAGGGTGAACGAGGTTGATGGGACTGATATGCCAAGGGGGATTGGAATTTTAATTCACTGATAAAATAATGTTAAATACGTTGTCTATATGTACAAAATTTGAACTAAAGCGGTCCAGTGGTTGTGGAGATAACGAATGGGTTGGGGGGATTCTTTCATTTCACCGCAAACGTCACTCTACCCTTGATCATGGTTGACAACCTGATGTGTTTCATGGTCTCTTTCTTTTAGCTCCCTCGTTGCAACCTCTATAGCCATTGTCTCATTGTCGAAGATAACATACATCAGATCACGGTGACAGAACATGATTCCTGTCATGCCCATGACGACGTTTGCGACGGGTAGCGACATCGTAAGAATGTAATTGGACTGCCAACCCACGAGCATATCCTGCGACCTCGTGGTCAAAGGCTACACGCATCAACTTGTCAAGTGCATGGATGGCATCGATCTTGCGATCGTCGACGGGGGTACACCCTTGGTGATCACACAAACCGATCCAAATGTCGATCTCAGGGTGTCCAAATCGTTTCGAAAAAACCGTGCTCCGATAAAAGTCAATGAAAAACGGTGGTGCAAGGACGACGACCGGGCCCCACTGATCGATCAGGATTTGTTTCTGGTCCAAATGTCAAAGTTTACTCACGTAGAAATACGAGTTCAGCCAGTGTGTAGTAGCCGTTATTTCCTTGCTAAGAGAGCAACCGTCGTATGGATGTTTCGTGTTGTCTGCCGAGTAACGAGAGCGCAAGATGTGCTCAAAAGTGGGAGAGATGGGTGTCTGGACATCTTCGCGAGTGATATAGCTTGCTGTTTCCACAAGCACGAGCAGAGCCTCTAGGGTATCCAACGCAAACCGTTTCAACGACCCACTGTGGGTATACCTACTCCGGAGCTGGCGGAGAGATGAAGAAGGATCTGCAGAAAGAAAGATGGACGTACATCGACGATCTTGTCGAATTGGGACAAGGGATCACTGTTGGAAATGATCGAGGTCATGTCGGGGGGCTCCTCTAAGCCTGCAGGAAACAAAGCATGCTTGCAACAGAGTTCAGATCAAGGACGTACGGAGCTGGATGAAACTCACCCAATCACGCAGCCGTATGGCAGGGATTCCCATTAGTCCAATACGCATACGAAGGGTGTTGATCTCGCATAGAGTGATTCGCTTCGATCCAGTCTTGGTGCGAGAGTTAAGCAGCGTGTCGGGCATGAACCAACTTTGATCGCGGAGGGTCTCGAAGGGCATTGGGCCTTCGGTGGCAAGGTTTTGCATCTCTTGCATGTCGTACGCCCACTTGGGAGGGGTTGATTGGGGAGATATGTGAGTGAAAGATGACTTACTGGCGCTTGCGTGTTTGTACGACTCGCAATTGGGTTAGGGCCTCTATTGGTGGTTCCACCGCTGCCCCCATTGCCGTTGGCATTCCCATCGCCACCCTCATCTTGGTTCCGAGGACCGAGAATGTGGTCCATTGTCTATGAAATGTTATGAACGTCCCCCTCTGAATATGTGGGCCTCACGTTGAGTTTGTCTCGGAGGCGCATGAGTACCTCGACGAGATTGTTGACATGATCCGCGTTTTCGTCTTGCAGGATTTCTTGGATATGATTCATTCTGTCCATAACGTGCATGGCAACGTCATTATAGAGCTCGTAGGCCATGCTAGGCATCGTAGAAGATGGGGAGGGGAAAGTGACGTCAGCGTCACCTCCCGCGTCACCTCCCACATCTTATTTCCACCATGTCTCCAGACGTGCCACCACCTTCCAGCTCACAACCATCAATCTCTGCAGAGCTAGAGGCGGGAATAATCCAAGCAGAGAAGAGGGTGGCAAAGGTTGGGGGGCGTGTGTTCAGCAAAGGCAGGATGGCGGCGCCAGGAGGCAAGACCGGAGGTAACGTCAGGTTACATGCTCGTACGACAGCTGATAACCGTGTTTTAAGGTGAGGGGGAGGCAGAAGGACAGGCTGATAAGTAAACAACGCGTCGATCATTGCAAGATGCTGACGGCGAGGTGCACAGGGCTCGAGGAAAAGCTCGAGGAAAAGGAAGGCCTCATCGCCGGCAGTGACGAAGACGAAGACGAAGAAGAAAAAGACCCAAAAGGCGGCCCAGTCCTCGTCTACAGCCATGGAGCCGGCCAGTGAAGAGGAAGAAGGGGATTGGGGGGAAATTGACTCGGAAGAGTTGGCATTATTAGGGGAGTATGACATGTCGCAGCACCACTAGAACAGGGAAAAATGACGAAAAATTGCATTATACGGCCATTCATTTACTTTACAAGTGTGGATCACACGTTCAGATGCGCCCTTCTGTAAAAGACCCATCATGTTTATAAATAATATGTACGGGGTTCATTCTCAAAAGGGTAATATGCCAGTGGTTCCTTGATCGAGGAACCAAAGAACTTTGCCGACGTCGTGGGAAATCCATAAGCCTGATCATCAGGTGATCAGCAACAACCATGTCAATCCCTCAACGGAATTTTGAACAACTCACTGCTACGGTCCAAAACGTGCTTGAAGGGTTCCAATTCCCATTGGAATTTCAAGGTCATGCCCAATCGTTCCACCAATGGGAAACCTTGGTCCAGCCATATGCTCTCCAGTACACATTGGCACGCTCTGGGGAAGTCCGTTTTGAGAAATCGACGGTACCACGTATCTTCCCCTGCATCTTGTCGTCTCTTTTCATGGTTCGTCTTCATCGGATGTTGAACAAGGAGGATGTGGATCTTTCAGAACCGATTGCTGTTGCGCCCCTAGACAAGACGAGGCGATGTATCGGTTATTGGCTTGGACATATTTCGGATCGGTTGGTTGCATTACGATCACAGCAGCATGATTTCCTCGAACTTCGAGACACTTCTCCCTTGGATGATGGGCAACATCTCACGTCTGAACGTCTTCTTCGATTTGCTTCTCGTCTGAGTGCCACATCAGAACAACATCGGCTACTCAGTAATATATATTTTTGCGCTGCTGTTGTGAAGGGGATGCGGGAGTCTGGAGGAATAAGCTATCTCGTGAGTGTGATATAACATCTTGCATCCCTAATTAATGACATTGTAGAATAACCATTCTTGGGGTGCTAATCAAAAGTGATTGTTGTTTCTTATCAGCTATGGGTTGTACTGATTTTTTTCAGATTCTCTTATGTTGCCCCTATGGGTATGGCGATTCTTATATCGCCCTTGGTCTTGCTTCTCGACAAGAACCTCGCGAAACCTTCAACGCTGCCTACGACAAACACTTTGCTATCGTATGCCGTCCTGTGTGGAGGATTTTTCCGGTCGAGTGGTCCTGAAAGGGTGCTTGAAAATGCACTCATTCGTCTCGTAATCTCTGTGTCTCAAACAGGAGAGATCGGCCCACAAGACTGCCACATGTTCAATGCTGCATGGACTGCTGTTTTGCCATGCATACCCGAGACCATCGATCGTGACCCTATCCCTCCTCTCGACGATACCGATGACGAGGAAACGGAAGGGGAAGCTCCCCGCTCTGTCGTGCATCGACAATCGCGTTCAACTCCTCGTCGACAGTCTCCACCCACTTCCTCTGCCGCCAGTACATCTACAAGCCGTCCGCTCCAACGGTCCTCACGTCCATCAGTTCCCTCTTCCACTAGGTCCACGGCTCGCCGCATCCCTTTATCCACCCGACGTCGCACAACAGCTCCGAGTATTAGAACGCGCTATCAGGACTCTCGTGGTGAGGATGCCGAGTTCCACATCCCCGATCTCCAAGATATACAAAGTTGGCCTGGACTGGACATCCCCGACGTCCCTTCGTACCCCCTTCCCCCAACCCGCGCACAAAAGGTATGCACCACTTGATCCTCGGTATTTTTCTCATGCAGTAATCTAGATACTGAGCGAATTCGAACTCCCTTGCGTCTTGGAGACGTGTTGCTGGACTCGGGAGAGGTTTTCCTTCCCGCATCGTCTCAACCTGGTGTGTATTCGTAACTTGGGTGTCCATCATTGACTCATGGCCGGTCAGGAACCTATCAGGAAGCTGCGGCGTTTACTAGAATGCAGTGCTCTGGACGCGATGTGGCACCCGAAAACTCTGCTGCAGACTGAGGCCTTGGCCATGTCTGCAGCGGCTTTCCAGAGGTTGGTCAATGATCAAGGGATGGTCTTGGTTGTTGGCAAGCCTGAAGAACGCGTACTGGACCATGGTGACCTTCTCGCTCTCACCGGTGAGAAGGGTCATGTTGCATGCTTTGGTACGTCTTTATATTTCAGATAGACCATCGTTGATGTCCCTTTAGATTCAGACGGTGTTCGACTGGGCGAGGACGACAAACTAACGTTAGAGCGATTCGACAGCGTAGTGCAGGAAGTCTTCGATTGGCGGACGTCTAGGCCGCTAGTCGTCCATCAGCTCAGGGGGGCTGGCCGTCTCGCTGTGGACGGGTATGTTTTCTCGTTTCTCTTGCGGTCGTTCTTATATTCTCTATAGGCTTCTTGACACTCTTGAGAGTGTTATGATCTCCGAGGGTAAGGGATGCCCTGGGGATTACAGCTCTTGGAGGATCCCGATGCTGGCAGCCACAGGTTCGTATTCGTCGCCTCATCAGGATTCCAATGGGGTCGGCACAGCACTCCAATGCGACGTCAGTCACAAACTCGTCTTTGTCTCGCTCGATTCACTTGACCCGTCGCACCCGTTGATCGTCAAGTTTGACGATGTCACTTTCGAAGGGGCTCTCGGGTACGAATATCTCTTTTATCCGCCTCATCGATATGGATACTTTGTCCTCTCTCCGGGGCAAACTCTGTAGGTCGCATTTCTTGTTCATGTTCAATCTATTGATTATTTATAGCGTCATGGCACCAGGCCAGGTGCATTTTGTATTTACACTTTCAAAGTTGGACGCATCCAATGAGCTGAGTTTTGGGACACTGATGCGGGCATCGTCCTTTCTTTCCCCTCATTGCATGACCCGTTCCTTTTATTCTGGTTGGGTCGATCGCCAATTGCAGCAGGAGGATCGATCGGATACGATGTCTGCAATACTTGAAGCGTTTGTCCGGGACTCGCAACGCCGCATTCTTATGCGTCTTCCTTTGGTGGGCGATCCTCAGCCGACTGATGTATTCGCTGCTATGTTCATGGCTATGATGTTTTCCAAGAGTGAAGACACTTGCCAAGCTGCGCAGGCTGTTGTTCTTCATTTTTCGAAACAGTATCCTCAAGCCTTTGAGCAATTCCGGGAAGGATTCCAGAGGGTTCAGGCTGCCAACGCTGATGGATGTCAGGATATGGCCCGTCAAAAGATGATGCAGGCGGTCGAGGCTATGGGTCCCTTATGAAATGTCAGAGTTCCATACGAAGAGTTGCACCCTGTAGTAAACCTCAAGATTCTCGTGTACAATATCCACAACTGCCATATTTGGAAATTGTCGGAACCGGGTGTTAAAAGTCGCCCGGAGCGGAGAAACATGTGACTTGGAATTGTATTTAAAGGAGTTGTCCGACTCGGGTAACTCAGAAGGAAACCATGTCAACGCCTTTTGATGAACTTAGTGACACCGTTCGAAATACGCTTGAGAAGTGAAGAAGTCAGAATTTCATGATCTTGCCCAAGGGCTCTTGGCAGGGGAGGATCAATGGGATGAGTTGGTCCAAGCACGTGTGAATGAGATAGTATCACGTTCCGGGAAACCTAGTTTCTCGCGATCAGTGGTGACGCAAATTTTCCCATGTGTCATATCTTTATGATTCGACTCAATTGGACGGTGATGGAGCAGCCGGCCATGGATCTTTCAGGAACAATTTCTTCCGGGCCTGCCAGCAAGATAAGGCGAGATATTGAGTATTGGGTGGGAAATATTCCGGGTCGGTTGGTTGAATTGCGATCCTTCCCCGACTTTTTCAAGCTTCAAAATCCCTTCCAATCCGATAACCTGCCAAATCCCACCCCGCAAGAGCTGATTCGTTTCGCTTTGCAACTGGATGTCACTACTGCGCAATACCGATTATTCAGCAATATTTATTTTTGCGCTGCTGCCGTGAATGGGATGAGGGAGTCGGGCATGTTGAAGTTTTTTGTGAGTATCCCGAAACCTCTTGCATGCCCAATGACTAACGAACGTTATAGCGAAATCATTATTTCCTCGCTAACCAACGGTATTTTTTTCATTTCTCTTTCTGAGGGTCCGTACTAACGATTTCTATAGTTCTTCTCACGTTGCTCCGCTCGTTATGGCGGTTTTGGTCTCCCCGCTCGTGTTGCTTCTTGACACGGGTCTCGCGAAACCGACCACGCTCCCTACCATCAACACGTTGTTGACTTATGCTGTGTTGGATGGAGGATTCTCTCGAACCACCGATCCGGAGAAGGTGTTGGAAAATGCCATACTTCGCCTTATCATATCCGTTTCTCGATCGGGACGGGTCGAACAAGCTGACCTTGACGAGTTCCATGCTGCATGGACATTGGTTTCGCCGTGCATACCCGAGACGATAAATCGCTCCCCTAGCCCATATGAGGAGGACTCGGTTCGCCATACTCCACGTCCCCCAGTAACGCCCCCGCGACACCGCCTCCACGTGCCCACACCCCCGTACACGCCACACACCCCCCCGCACATACGTAAAGGAGCAACCTCTGGCTCTTCAAGTAGCAGAGCCAAGGTGCCGTCTGATGGCCAGGGCGGGAGGAGCCTCGAGCCACACACCCAGGGAGTTGGCAGTCAAGGAGGGATGACTCTCAGATCACACGTGGAGCAAACTCAAAGCAAAATCGAGGGTAGCAAAGGACAGGTGGGCCTTGGGCCACGCCGGCAGGGAACTTCTCGTGCCGGTCAAAAGCGTAGGCGGGGGGGAGATGAAAGTGGCCTGCAACCACAGAAAAAGACTCGTGTGTCCTCTCGAAAGGCTGGTACGGCCAAGGACCGAACGATAGCGTTCTCCATCTCTGAGGAGGAGATCGAGTCTTGGCCAGAATTGAACACTTTGGACATGTCTCAAGTCCCTCTCAAGAGGACCTCACCGGGTCCGACGAAAAATCCCAAGGTAAGCTTTCTGTGGGCTTTGGGCGGTGAAAGCTGACAGGCCTGGGCAGGATATATATCGTGTAGAATTCCGTGTTGCGTCTCTTATGCGCAAAAATAGAACACCTCACAAGGAAACGTTTGTGTTTCCGTACCATAAAAACTCGGTGAGTCGTTCGTTGCCTTCTCAGGGTTGGGTTTTCATAGCATTGCAGGCATCTATCTGTGCCTTCACTGGTTATGTAGAATCAACCCAGTACGACCTCGACAACTCTATGCTCACCGTGCTAGATGCGTCACAGGCTTACGATATGTCACCCGAAGAATTTCAGGCAATGGTCGATGCTGGTGACCCTATCATCTTGACGGGACAGCAGCAGTCAGTCGAGTTCGACGTTCCAACCCTTTTCAACCTCATCGACTTTCGGTCCAGTATGCTCTGTATAGGTGAGTTTGCTTGCTCTTTCCATTGGTTTCGTTGACGTGTCTTCCAGATTCCGATGCAGTGGACGAACTGTTCGAGATTTCCGCGCGGGAAGCTGCATACGAGATGTGTCATTGGCCAACATCTAGGCCGCTCATCGTCGAGCATGCCCCAACAGCTGCGAGCCTATATCAACCGGTGGAGAGGTGAGGTTTTTTTTTTTTTTTTTTTGCTTTGATGCGTAAGCTCATGGGTTAAAGGCTCCTTAACACTCACGGCGTGGCCCTGGCGGACTTTGCATTGGATGATCATCATGTCCGAGACTGGCGAGGCCCAATGATCTCCGCCGTTGGATCCGTGCATCCACCCCATCAAAACCCGAACGGCCTTGGGATCAGCCTCTATTGCGCTAGTGGCCATGTGGTTTTTTTCATCCCGATTCTCGAAGAAAGTCAAAAGCTGATCGTGAATTTCGGTGATGTGGACGTGCAGACCCCATTGGGGTTCGAGTACTTGTACCAGGCCCCACACCGGTACGGTTCATTCGTGCTTTCCGCAGGTCAAACAGTGTGAGTGAATTTTTTCTCCTTTGGGTTGGGTTTCTAATTGTATTCTTAGCGTATTTCCGCCTGGGCAAATATATGCCTATGCGACGATTTCAAAGGAGGGATCGACGAGCCATGGATGTATCATGCATGGGTCGTACTTCCTCGCTGCGGGGTGCATGAGAAGATCTGCGAGTTGGTTGGATCGAAGTTCCAATGACGAATCTACGATCGGGGACTCATCGGTGACGACGTCCTTGATTGCGATGGTGTTGAAGGCGGTAGACGCCCTGTCTACCCCTGACAAAGAAATTGTCCATTCCCCCGATACCGCGAACCTCTTTTCATTAGCATCGATGGCGATGATGTTCCTCGGAACTCATGGGCCAGATATGATGAAAATAGCCAAAGCTCTGAGTCGCCATTGTACCGAAGAGGGCGTGCGCCGATGTTATCGTTGAACTCGAAGACCTTCGGATCGCGAATCATGCGTACAAAGAGGATTGCCTTACTTCCCGCGAGCGTGAAGAATACGATATAATGGCAACTTTCTTCCGTCGCAGTATGATGACTGCGGTTAAGAACATGTTTTCTTCCGAAGAGTAATGTGCTTGTATTCTTTGTAGTTTAACGCATGTACTCGAATAACATTTTTGCATGGGTGAATTATTATCTTTGCCACATGGGTCAAAGAATGAATCCTGGGATGTGACATTTCAGCTAGGCATGTTCGATTTATCAGCCATCCTCGCATTTTTTTCACTACCGATTATATCTTTTTACATGTATGAGCTCAAAAAAATTGAAATAAAAAGATGACGAAACGAGATATACCCTTGGGGCACACGTTCGTTTGATTTTTCCGTAATTTTCAGGAAAATTTCATACGATGCATATGCATCGATCGCAGCATCTGAGATATTGTCAACGATTGTATTATGAGGAATCACAAACTTACACTCTAGTTGTTCGTCTGAGAGGTGCCGCGTCCACCAGCCCCCGTGCCACTTGGGTTCGTGCTTTTTAATCCGCTGCCTTAAATACAATGTGGCTAGCTTTCGTATCCCTGGTTGTTGGTTGAGGCCCTTCGTCCTCTTCCAATGATGAGGATGCAGTTGGACTGCAAGCTCGCCAATATCTTTTGTGTTTGCCATGGAGAATCCCCAGACCTCTTCTGCCGTTTTCATGTCGGCTGTAGTGCACGTTTAATGTGGTCCGCCCGATTCGCAAATTTGCTTACATCGGATGCCAACTCCATATTTTGTGACATGTCCCGCAGTGAGTATCTGCTTTATTTTTGTTGGGCCTTGGGATGCGTATTAGAATCAAATATGGTTTGAAGGTGAGAACTCACATGCACTAGTCTCTAGTTGGTATACTATCACGCCCGATGAGTGGGCAAATTGGATCGTACTTATTCGGTTGAGGGTTTGGCCCATCATTCGTCGATAGAGAATGGTGAATCGGCCAGTCACCTTGGACCATTCCATGTCCACAAATATTTCCCTTTTTGTTCGTCAGGACCGGGACTTTACGTTGCATGGGTTTCTCACCTCGCATTCCCAAACCGCTTGTCGTATTCCTTTTCGAATTGCTGTACGCCCGTGCAATAAGCGATTGGTACGGGGAGCTCGTATGGGGGCATTGATGCCTCTAAATGCTCAAAGTCTCGCGTCAGTTCCTTTGACGCCTCAGTCCGTGTTTTTTGGATCTCTTGCTTCCTGGCTGCTATCATTGTTTGAACCATGTTCGCACGCTCCCAGTGCTCATAAGCCCTCTCCCCAGGCAGCTCTCGCAAACATTCATCTAGGGATGTTTGAAATCGTTGTAAAGCCATTTTGTATGGACGAAGAAGTGAAAAATTTCAGGTAGGGTTCACGATGGATAAGGATGAGGAGAAACCAAAAAAGGAAATAGTCCCAAAACTGTCGTGTATTATTAGCGTTTGATAACATCCTTCTGGTACATTATTATGACTAGTATGACAGATCTTTTCAGTCACGACCTGTACATTGCCCGAGCATTTTGATCCTAACTGCCCTCGTGGAGCATGGCCACGCAATGGAGGCCGTAATTACACGGTTAGGGACGGGAGGTCATGACGAGGGGTTCTAGGGTGCGGAGCATCGTGCACGACAAGAAGCCAGCACATGTGGGGAGATGGAGATATCGGAAGCAGACATCGGTAAATGAGTCATGTGACTCATTTGCGCCAAGCTTGGGAGGTTCCGAGTTAGTTTTTATTATATAAAAACGCCAAAAACCTTATCAACATTACAACCTTATCAATGTTGCGCGACACATCAAATAACTATTCAGCCGCCGCCGCCGGAGAAGTGATGTGTATTGACCCCATGGCACCCTTAATTCACCCGCCCACCCCTCGCCACATGCCATCCACACCCCTAGATCTGACATCGGTTGGGTCGGATGATGACAGTGACTATGAGCGTGGTCCGACAGCCGATCTCCACGGGGGTGAACATAGCCGCCAAAATGAAACGCGGCATCGCGAAGCAAGGAGGCCGCGATTAGTGCTCACTGTCGAGATACCGATACTTCCTCGTCCTTTCACCAAGAAGGCAAGAAGGCAAGAACTAGACAACTAGACTCGGGAAGAAGGAACTAAAAAAAAGTTGGAAGTTCAGTTAAAAAATACTCTATAGAAGGGGGGGGCAATAGGCTATTGCCGCTGCACCCTATCTAATCACAGTGGGTATTATGAATCATAATACTTGTGCCACTCTATAGAAGGAGGGGGCAATAGGCTATTGCCGCTGCACCCTCGGGATTTTCCGGGCTTGAAAAAAAGAGAAAAATCACACCTTTCTAACGGTACTAATCATTTGAAATCTGGTTCAGCCGTTGAAAAGTTATAAGCGTGGACATTTCTGCACCCTGCACCCTTGACCTGAAGCCTCGATGTTTTCTTGGTCAGTTTTGAGAATTATGGGCGGCAATAGGCATTCCAGGTAGCTGTGGGCGAGATCTACAAGATAAAAAAAAGAGCATGTGAATAGCTGCTCTAGGTAAGGAGATATGGGAAAAATAAAATTTAGAGGAAAAAAAGAATAAATAAATTGATAAGTGGACGAACAAAATAGGGAAAAATGCGGGGTGTTCTGGGGTGGAATATGGTAAGCAAATAGAATGGGAAGATATTTTATTTGTAATTTTTTGGGGAAGTTTTTTTTCGAGGGTGCACTCGGGTGCAGAGGGTGCAAGTGAGGGTGCAAGTGAAATTAAAAGTGAAATATCTTAGTGAAGAAAATAGATATAAATATGGGGTCTTTTTCAGTGTGATATATTTAGGAGAGAGAATGGAATGGAATTTTTAAATAATTTTTTTTGGAAAATAAATTTGGAGGGTGCACTCGGGTGCAGTGAGGGTGCAAGTGAAACTAAAAGTGGAATAAGTTTTGACTGGATGGATGAAAATTGAAATGGTTGATAGGGTTAGGAAGGTGTGATTTTAGTGAAAATTATAAAATGAAAAAAAGAGAAGTGGCTGTGCACTTTTTTGCACAGCCACAGAGGAAAAATTTTGATAGGAAGAAAGTGGAAGGTGAGAAAGTTGGGAGAAGAGAGTAACAAAGGTTAGAACTGAAGTGGAGAAGACAACAACAATACAACAACACAACAACGCGACAATGCGACAACTAAACAACTAGACAAGGGAAGAAGCAACTAAAAAAAAGTGAGAAGTGAAGTTTGAAGTCTGAGTTGAAAAACTAAGAAAGTGAACTAAAGAACTAGACAAGGCAACAAGAGGACAACTAGAGAACTAGACAAGGCTGGTGGCAAAAATGGGGAACTGTGGAAGGAAAAAAAGTGGGGACTTGAGTTTGAAGTGTGAGTTTGGAAGGGAAGAAGCGGAACTGTGGTAGTAAAAAAAGTTCGAAGTTCAGTTTGAAGTGTGAGTTTCGAAGACAAGAAGACAAGAAGACAAGAAGGCTGGAACTAGAGAACTAGAGAAGGAAGCAAAAAAAGGTTTGGACTTGGGAACTGTAAAAGTTTGTTGGGGACGCGAGAACCCGAGAACCCGAGAACCCGAGAAGGGGAGAAGTAGACTAGACTCGGGGACTGTGGAAGTTGGGGACTGGATAACCCGAGAAGGGGACAAGGGGACAGGTAGACTTGGTGGGAACTGGCTGAGGGGGAAGTGGGAGTAGGGAAGGTTTTAACTGTGGAAGTTTGTGGGGAACCCGACAAGCAGACAACCGGACAAGGGGAGAAGTAGACTAGACTTGGGGACTGTGGAACTGGTGGAAGTGTGGAACTTAGGAGGGGACCCGATAACCGGACAAGTGGACAAGCGGACAAGTAGACAAGTAGACTCGGTGGGAACTGGCTCAGGGTTTGTGGAAGTAGGGAAGGTGAACTGTGAAAGTTTGTTGGGGACCCGACAAGGGGACAAGGGGAGAAGTAGACTAGACTGAGGGACTATCTAATCACAGTGGGTATTATGAATCATAATACTTGTGCCATGGCGATTTTTTGGTATCATAAAAAAGAGAAAAATCAGACCTTTCCAACGGTGTAACGGGAATGGAAGTCCGGTAAACGGTTCAGGAGTTATGGCCAATTCATTGTCGTGCCCAGTCGTGCCCTAGTCGTGCCCTATCGTGCCATTGGCCAGTACTCGGCCAGTTCTCAATATTATGAAATATAAACGAGTGTCCAAAGGCCGTATGGATCTCCTCTACAAGATGCAAAAAACCCCGAGCGAATAGCTGCCACGGTTACTGAGTTATTGAGGAAACAAAGTTGTGCCCTGAGTTTCAGTGTTTGAGCTCAAGTTGAGAATTAATTTGTTTGGGGTGTATAGCATATCACAAGATAGGTATTGAAAATATATACACGATGCAAAAAACTTTGAGTGAAACGGGTCACTCGTTGTGAAGTTATTCAAGAAATAAAGTGTGAACATGGGACCAAGGGCACGAGTGGAGGGCACAAGTGTGTTTATTGAATAACTCGGGAACGAGAGCAGCTATTGACTCAGGGTCTTTTGCATCCGGTGGAGATTATCAATACGGCCTTTGGAACATCAACGGTGCCTGATAATACCGAGAAATGGGAGAGAAAACAGCAATGGCACAAGTAGGGCACGATTGACTTGTGCCCAATCGTGCCATGGACCATTACTCATCCATTTGTTGGTATTATCAGGCTTTAATAAATGTCCAAAGGCCGTATGGATGTCCTCTACAAGATGCAGCAAACCCGGAGTGATTAGCTGCCCTGGTTACCAAGTTATCAAGGAAAGGAAATAGTGTGCCAAGTTGTGCCCTATCGTGCCATTGGCCAGTACTCGGCCAGTTCTCAATATTATGAAATATAAACGAGTGTCCAAAGGCCTTATGGATCTCCTCTACAAGATGCAAAAAACCCCGAGCGAATAGCTGCCACGGTTACTGAGTTATTGAGGAAACAAAGTTGTGCCCTGAGTTTCAGTGTTTGAGCTCAAGTTGAGAATTAATTTGTTTGGGGTGTATAGCATATCACAAGATAGGTATTGAAAATATATACACGATGCAGAAAACCCTGAGTGAAACGGGTCACTGGTTGTGCAGTTATTCAAGAAATAAAGTTTGAACATGGGACCATGGGCATGAGTGGAGGGCACAAGTGTGTTTATTGAATAGCTCAAGAACGAGAGCAGCTATTGACTCAGGGTCTTTTGCATCCGGTGGAGATTATCAATACGGCCTTTGGAACATCAACGATGCCTGATAATACTCAGAAATGGGGGAGAAAACAGCAATGGCACAAGTAGGGCACGATTGACTTGTGCCCAATCGTGCCATGGACCATTACTCGTCCATTTGTTGGTATTATCAGGCTTTAATAAATGTCCAAAGGCCGTATGGATGTCCTCTACAAGATGCAACAAACCCGGAGTGATTAGCTGCCCTGGTTACCAAGTTATCATGGAAATAAAATCATGTGCCAAGTCGTGCCCTATCGTGCCATTGGCCAGTACTTGTTGAGTTCTTAATATTATGACATATAAATTAGTGTCCAAAGGCCGTATGGATCTCCTCTACAAGATGCAAAAAACCCCGAGTGAATAGCTGCCACAGTTACTGAGTTATTGAGGAAACAAAGTTGTGCCCTGAGTTTCAGTGTTTGAGCTCAGGTTGAGAATCGATTCATTTGGGGTGTATAGCATATCAAAAGATAGGTATTGAAAATATATCTATGGTGCAGAAAACCCTGAGTGAAACGGGTCACTGGTTGTGAAGTTATTCAAGAAATAAAGTTCAAACATGGGACCAAGGGCACAAGTGGAGGGCACAAGTGTGTTTATTGAATAGCTCGAGAACGAGAGCAGCTATTGACTCAGGGTCTTTTGCATCCGGTGGAGATTATCAATACGGCCTTTGGAACATCAACGGTGCCTGATAATACCGAGAAATGGGGGAGAAAACAGCAATGGCACAAGTAGGGCACGATTGACTTGTGCTCAATCGTGCCATTGGCCATTACTCATCCATTCGTTGGTATTATCAGGCTTTGATGAATGTCCAAAGGCCGTATAAATGTCCTCTACAGGATGCAACAAACCCGGAGTGATTAGCTGCCCTGGTTACCAAGTTATCAAGGAAAGAAAATAGTGTGCCAAGTCGTGCCCTATTGTGCCATTGGCCAGTACTTGTTGAGTTCTCAGTATTATGACATATAAATTGATGTCCAAAGGCCGTATGGATCTTCTCTACAAGATGGAAAAAATTTTGAGTGAAACGGGTTACTTGTTGTGAAGTTATTCAAGAAACAAAGTTGGACAATGGGCAAACAGGGCACAAGGCACAAGTGTGTTTATTGAATAACTTGGGAATGAGAGCAGCTATTGACTCAGGGTCTTTTGCATCCGGTGGGACTTATCAATACGGCCTTTGGAACATTAACGAGGCCTGATAATACGGAGAAATGGGAGAGAAAACAGCAATGGCACAAGTAGGGCACGATTGACTTGTGCTCAATCGTGCCATTGGCCATTACTCACCCATTTGTTGGTATTATCAGGTTGTGATGAATGTCCAAAGGCCGTATAGATCTCCTCAACAAGATGTAATGAACCCTGAGTAAATAGCTGGCATGGTTACTGAGTTATTGCGAAAAGACAGTTGTGCCAACATGGCACAAGTTGAGGGCACAAGTGTGTTTGCTGAATAACTTGGGAACCAGTATAGCTATGGACTCGGGGTCTTTTTCATCTTGTAGAGGATATCCATACGGCCTTTGGAACATCAAAAGTGACTGATAATACTCAGAAATGGGGGAGAAATTGACAATGGCACAAGTAGGGCACGATCCACTTGTGCCCAATCGTGCCATGGGCCATTATTCATCCATTTGTTGGTATTATCAGGTTTTAATGACTGTCCAAAGGCCGTATAGATACTCCCTACAGGACGTAAAAAACTTTGGGTCAATAGTTGCTCTGGTGACTGAGTTATTGAGAAAAGAAGTAGGGCCAACATGGCACAAGTCGAGGGCACAAGTTTGTTTGTTGAATAACACAGGAACCAGAGTAGCTATGAACTCGGAGTCTTTTGCATCTCATAGAGGATATCCATACGGCCTTTGGAACATCAAGAACGCCTGATAATACTGAGAAACGAGAGAGAAATCATCAATGGCACGATCGACTTGTGCCCAATCGTGCCCTGGGCCACCACTCATTCATTTGTCAGTATTACCAGGTTGTAACGAGTGTCCAAAGGCCATATGGATCTCCCCTACACGACACAAAAGACCAGGAATTCATAGCTGCTCTGGGTCTGGAGATATTGAGAAAGGAAAGTTGTGCCTTTTCAGCAGGGGCACAAATGGCACAAGTACATATAGGAGATGAAATAGGCAGCTTGGACTGGACCATGTGATCAAGTTTGCTTTGGCTTGATCATGTGATCAAGCCAGCTTGAACTTGATCATGTGGTCAAGTTTGCTTTGGCTTGATCATGTGGTCAAGTTTGCTTTGGCTTGATCATGTGATCAAGTTTGCTTTGACTTGATCATATGATCAAGCCAGCTTGAGCTTGATCATGTGATCAAGTTTGCTTGAACTTGATCATGTGATCAAGTTTGCTTTGGCTTGGTCATGTGGTACAGGCTGAGGGCACAAGTTGATATTGACTGAATAACTTGGGAAGGAGAGTAGCTAGGGACTTGGGGTTTTTTCCACCCCATCAAGGATATCAATTCAGCCTTTGGACCATCAAAATACCCTGATAATACTCAGAAATGGGGGAGAAAATGGTGATGGCACAAGTAGGGCACAATCAACCTGTGCCCAATCGTGCCATGGGCCATTACTCATCCATTGGTTTGTATTATCAGGCTGTAATGAGTGCCCAAAGGCCGTATGGATATTCTCTACAAGATGTAAAAGACTGCAAGTTCATAACTGCTCTGGTGACTGAGTCATTGCAAAAAGAAAGTTGTGCCAACATGGCACAAGTCAAGGGCACGAGTTTGTTTGTTGAATAGCTCAGGAACCAGAGTAGCTACAGACTCCGGGTCTTTTGAATCTTGTAGAGAATATTCATACGGCCTTTGGAACATTAATAGTGCCTGATAATACTCAGAAATGAGGGAGAAAGCGGTGATGGCACGAGTAGGGCACGATTGACTTGTGCCCAATCGTGCCATGGGCCATTACTCATCCATTTGTTCGTATTATCAGGCTGTAATGAGTGTCCAAAGGCCGTATAGATCCCCCCTACAAGATGAAAAAAACCATGAGTTCATAGCTGCTCTGGTGACTGAGTTATTGCAAAAAGAAAGTCATGCCAACATGGCACAAGTGGAGGGCACAAGTTTGTTTATTAAATAACTCTGGAACGAGAGCAGCTATAAACCCAGGGCCTTTTGCGTCTCATAGAGAATATCGATTCGGCCTTTGGAACATTAATAGTGCCTGATAATACTCAGAAATGGGGGAGAAAATGGCAATGGCACCAGTAGGGCACGATCGACCTGTGCCCAATCGTGCCATGGGCCATTACTCATCCATTGGTTCGTATTATCAGGCTGTAATGAGTGTCCAAAGGCCGTATGGACCTCCCCTACAGGATGAAAAAAACTGCAAGTTCATAACTGCTCTGGTGACTGAGTTATTGCAAAAAGAAAGTTGTGCCAACATGGCACAAGTTGAGGGCACAAGTCTGTTTGTTGAATAGCTCAGGAACCAGAGTAGATATGGACTTGGGGTCTTTTGCATCTTGTATAGGATATCCATACAGCCTTTGGAACATCAAAAGTGCCTGATAATACTCAGAAATGGGAGAGAAATTGACAATGGCACGAGTAGGGCACGATTGACTTGTGCCCAATCGTGCCATGGGCCATTATTCATCCATTTGTTGGTATTATCAGGTTGTGATGACTGTCCAAAGGCCGTATGGACCTCCCCTACAGGATGCAAAAGACTGCAAGTTCATAATTGCTCTGGTGACTGAGTTATTGCAAAAAGAAAGTCGTGCCAACATGGCACAAGTCGAGGGCACAAGCCTGTTTGTTGAATAGCTCAGGAACCAGAGTAGCTATGGACTTGGGGTCTTTTTCATCTTGTAGAGGATATCCATACAGCCTTTGGAACATCAACAGTGCCTGATAATACTCAGAAACGGGGGAGAAATCGACAATGGCACAAGTAGGGCACGATTGACTTGTGCCCAATCGTGCCATGGGCCATTACTCATCCATTGGTTCGTATTATCAGGCTGTAATGAGTGTCCAAAGGCCGTATGGACCTCCCCCACCGGATGCAAAAGACTGCAAGTTCATAACTGCTCTGGTGACTGAGTTATTGCAAAAAGAAAGTCGTGCCAACATGGCACAACTCAAGGGCACATGTCTGTTTGTTGAATAGCTCAGGAACCAGAGTAGCTATAACCTTGGGGTCTTTTGCATCTTGTAGAGAATATCCATACGGCCTTTGGAACATCAATAGTGCCTGATAATACTCAGAAATGAGGGAGAAAACGGCAATGGCACGAGTGGGGCACGATTGACTTGTGCCCAATCGTGCCACGGGCCATTACTCATCCATTTGTGCATATTATCAGGTTGTGATGAGTGTCCAAAGGCCGTATAGATTTCCTCTACAGGATGAAAAAGACCATGAGTTCATAGCTGCCCTGGATACTGAGTTATCGAGAAAAGATCATGGGCACAGGTTGTTTATTCCATAACTCAGGAATGAGAGCAGCTATGGACTCGGAGTGGATATCAATTCAGCCTTTTGACCATCAATAGAACCTGATAAGGGAGAAAACAGCAATGGCACAGGTAGTGCATGATTCACCCAGTCATGCCATCAGGTTGTGATAACTATCCAAAGGTCACATAGGTCTCCCCTACATGATAATTCCTAGCTGTGAACGAGTTATCGAGAAAGCCCAAATGGCACAAGTTGAGGGCACAAGTTTTTGTTAGTCACATTGGGGCCTTTTCTGTAATGCTGATATGTGTCCCTGATTTTCACATTGCCCATGGGTTGAGTCGGGTATGGGGCTGGGCATTTTGGGTATGGGGTTGTGCGTTTGGGTATGGGGTTGTATTGTAAACTCTGAAAAGGGTGGCCACACCAGGATTCGAACCCGGGTCCATCCAACATATATTTGGAGGTGATAACCACTACACCATATGGCCACAGCAGTTCTCTAGGAGATTGCATCAACCAATAGGAGGCAGGTCTATCGTACTGCAACACTCCCCCTAGACCTGCGGCTGATTAAACCTATCCTGCAAAGGTCACAGACCGGCTTACAGTCATGGTAGGTCCTGGGGGTCCCCTCAGAGTAACTGGGCTCATAACCTATTGTAAACTCTGAAAAGGGTGGCCACACCAGGATTCGAACCCGGGTCCATCCAACATATATTTGGAGGTGATAACCACTACACCATATGGCCACAGCAGTTCTCTAGGAGATTGCATCAACCAATAGGAGGCAGGTCTATTGTACTACAACACTCCCCCTAGACCTGCGGCTGATTAAACCTACCCTGCAAAGGTCACAGACCGGCTTACAGTCATGGTAGGTCCTGGGGGTCCCCTCAGAGTAACTGGGCTCATAACCTATTGTAAACTCTGAAAAGGGTGGCCACACCAGGATTCGAACCCGGGTCCATCCAACATATATTTGGAGGTGATAACCACTACACCATATGGCCACAGCAGTTCTCTAGGAGATTGCATCAACCAATAGGAGGCAGGTCTATCGTACTGCAACAGGTTGTGCATTTGGGTAAGGCCGTGGTATGGAGTGCGGTCTATTGAAAAAATAACATTGAGTAACATTCAGCGTGAAGCGAGACAGCCCCCGCAGCGACCACCAGTGGGCTGCGAAGCTGCCCATCTGGTGTGGAGCGAGGACATTGGGCTGGGGAGCGAGCGTACCTATTCATTCAAAATACATATGGAAGTGGCACAAGGTATTTGCTGAATCAGTCTAGGGCACAAGTGTGTTTATCGAGTCACTTGGGAAGAAATGTAGCTATGGACTTGGGGTCTTTTTCATCCCGTAGGGGACATCCATATGGGAACATCAACAGCGCCTGATAATCTCTTCCAGATGAACCTGAGTGACTAGCTGCCATGGTTACCAAGTTATTGAGAATAGTGTGCCCAGTCGTGCTCTATCGTGCCATTGGCTACTTGTCCAGTTATTAATGTCCAAAGGCCATATGGATCTTGTCTACAAGATGAAAAGAACCCTGAGCAAAACAGATCCCTTGTTATGAAGTTATTCAGGAAACAAAGTTGGACAATGGGCAAACATGGGACAGGGGCACAAGTGGAGGGCACAAGTGTATTTATCGAATAACTTGGGAACGAGAGCAGCTATCGACTCGGGGTTTTTTGCATCCGGTGGGAATTATCAATACGGCCTTTGGAACATCAACAGTGACTGATAATACTCAGAAATGGGGGAGAAATTGACAATGGCACAAGTAGGGCACGATCGACTTGTGCCCAATCGTGCCATGGGCCATTACTCATTCATTTGTTGGTATTATCAGGTTGTGATGGATGTCCAAAGGCCGTATGGATGTCCCCTACATGATGGAAAAGACCATGAGTTCATAGCTGCTCTGGTGACTGAGTTATTGCAAATAGACTATTGTGCCAACATGGCACGAGTTGAGGGCACAAGTTTATTTGTTGAATATCTCAGGAACCAGAGTAGCTATGGACTTGAAATCTTTTGCATCTAATATAGGATATCCATATGGCCTTTGGACCATCAACAGTTAATACTCACAAATGGGGGAGAAACCAGTGATGGCACAAGTAGGGCACGATCGACTTGTACCCAATCATGCCATGGGCCATCACTCATCCATTTGTTGGTATCATCAGGTTGTAATGAGTATCCAAAGGCTGTATAGATCCCCTCTACAAGATGCAACAAGCCCTGAGTGAATAGCTACCATGGTCACCCAGTTATTGAGGAAAGAAAATAGCATGCCAAGTCATGCCCTATCGTTCCATTGGCCAGTACTTGTCCAGTTCTTAATAAATCAATGTCCAAAGGCTGTATGGATTTTCTCTACAAGATGAAAAAAACCCCGAGTGAGGTGGGTCACTTGTCGTGACGTTATTCAGGAAACAAAGTTGGACAATGGGCAAACATGGGAGAGGGGCACAAGGCACAAGTGTGTTTATCGAATAACTTGGGAATGAGAGCAGCTACTGACTCAGGGTCTCTTGCATCCGGTGGAGATGATCAATATGGCTTTCGGAACATCAACAGCACGTGATTATACTGAAAAATGGAGGAGAAAACAGCAATGGCATGATCAACTTGTGCCCAATCATGCCATGGACCATTATCAGGTTGTGATGAATGTCCTTCAACGAGCTGCCACTGGAGTCATGGCCGGAAGGGCTGGGGTCGGTCTCAATAGAAGACCCCAGAGGTGTGAGGTACCGACTCCAGTGGGACTGGGCAGTGAAGGGAGGTTCAATGTATATGTTCACATATGAAAGCTAATACACACAGGCTATGCATAACCACTTGACAAGAGGGGAAACACAGCAAGAGGGGGAGGCTGGGTGGTGATCTGGGTCTGGAGGTCAGATGTGAAATGGTCTGGGTGTCCATATGACATGTGGAGGTAAGCAGGTCTGCCCTGACACATAGGACCCTCAAGTTGGGAACCAAAATGGAGCAGCAATGCAAAGTATGTGTGGCATGACCCAGAGATGGCGTCTACACCCATCTCTTCTGCAGCTCATCGCCGATGAAGATTCCCTTCCATGATCAAAACGCATTTGTAGATGTGTGACTGAACGGTGGCATGAAGACATTGGGACACTAGGGCAAGTAGGGTCTGGGGCATGCAATGCTCTGCAATTTCACAAAGAGTTTTGTTTGGAGGTGCATTCATCCTATGGGCAGCCTGTGTCAGCAATGGATTCCCTCAAAGCTGTCCCAAACTCACGTCTGAAGGGGGGTCTGAAGGTGGTAAAGAGGAAACAGAGGCAGTCGATCCCATCTTTATTTATACCTTCTGGATCTGCAAATCAGGTGATCAAGTAAATATTTTCTTGATCATGTGGCACCAAGACAGGTGAAGTCGATAATGAGGAAAAAAGCAACAGCAATGGCACAAGTAGGAAGTCGTGCTGTCCCTGTGATGGGTGTCCATCAATAAACATGGCATGATTATTAAAGGAATCCACAATGGTTGGTATCCACCTCATGTGATCAAGAAAATATCTACTTGATCTCCCCCTTGGCCCCACATGACCAAGAAAATATTTACTTGATCACCTGATCCTAACATCTCCCTATAAAGGTAGGGACATTCCAGCTCTTCTAGCTCTTCCAGCTCCCCCCCTTCCTCCTCCTCTACCACAGTCCTCTGTCCCCCCCATGCCTAAAGACACATCCAGAGCTCAGGAAACCTCTGATGAGGAGTCAGTATCATCCACTTGTGTGATCATCTTTCCCTTACATGTTTTCCAGCGACCATCTCGAGTGCCAGGCATGTCGACTCTTGTTTGCCACCACCAACGAATGCAGGACACACATGGCTACAGTCCATCAGTCAGAGGTAAGGATCACCGCTGACCTAACCCTTTCCCGACTAGATGGTGTTTTCCACTGCCCCAAATGCACATACACCCATGAAAATCCTCGCAACTTTGCCCGCCACAAGCACATCATCCAACTCAAGGGGTTGGCCAAGGTATCCCACACGAGGCCCTCCAGGTCACGCAGCACTCCTCGCCTCACCGCCACCAGCACATCTGCATCCACATCCCCTGCCACGACGGTCCCCAACACCCCTGCCCTCACCACCCGCCCCCTTGACCCTATCCAAGATGACGAATACCTTCCAACGCAACCCACTGCCCACCGTCCCTCTGGACGCCTGCTCATCCAACCCGAAGAAGACTTCAAAACGCTCCAGATAGGCATCGACCCCGAACATCTCTGCATCGTGTGCGAGGCTTGTGGACATGCAGTCCAAAGGAGTGCACTCCAAAACCACGTTGCAAAACGGCACCACATGTCTCGATTGCCCCCTTCCATCGATCCTGCCCTGCAACGTCACCGAGTTCCCCAGCACATCCACCACCCACAGAGGAAGGTAGCCCCTGTGGCCTCCATCCCTATCCTTGATGGCTACGTGTGCACCGTCGAGGGGTGCTACCTGGCTGCCGAACAGTACTCTTCCTTCTCCAGGAACCACTTCCACAAGGCCCACCCGTTCCTCGCACCCAAGGACCATGTCGTGTCCTCCCCCATTCAGGTCGTCTTTCCAGAGAAGAAGGACCACCAGGTTTGGGCAGTCAACCCCAACTACACCGCTCCTGCATCCGACATCGATCATGCCGCTGCATTGGAGGATCTCATGGAGCAAGAGAGGAGGAGGGGGTGGGGTCAAGGCATCATCCAGGCTCCCGACAGCGCCCAGCAGGTCCACAATTTCCACAGGGAGTATGGCTGGATACGCACGATAGAGGGGAAGGACTACAAGGCGCTCTCCGCACTTGTGGCTCTCCCACACGAGCCTCTCCTCCTCTGCTTCAAGGAGAGGGTGGTGCCCTATTTCAAGGAGATTCGGGGCATCGTCGAGAACACGCCACCTCTCGTTTTGAGGTGGATCAACACATCGGAAGGGTGAGCAGCTTGACCATCAGGATCCAGGACCGTCATGACACTTGCCCCACAGAGATATTGCCCACCGGCCGTTCACCTATCCACAGAACAAGAGCACGACCCAACGCTACCACTCATATGCACTACAGGTCATCTGCTTTGTTCTTCGCTACTGCTCCTTGGACTCACCGCCCATCCACGTGATCCTGTCTGAGCACCAGCAGCAATGTGCAATGAACGTTTGGCAGGCACTGAACACACCGCTCTCCCACACGAACGAATCGTGGGACAGGCTCATCCACTCGCTCTTTCTCTCCATCTTCTTCCACCCACCTCCGTCCCTTCCCCGGGTTGGAGACAAGGACCCGGTCCACATGTCCCTCATCCTCATGAGCATCAACACAGAGGAGGGGGGCAACTTTTCCACGTTTCGTATGGTCACCACCATCATGTCTGGATTGACCCACATCATGCGCCTCGTCGCTGCAAAGGAGATCCACATCCAGGCTGCAGCCCTGACAAGGACCATGGACCCATTGTTCGAGTGAGGATCTTTGCTCTCTTTATGTCATCTCTGACTCATATCTTCATCACAAAAAGGGCCTGTCAGGAGTTTTGTCTACAGTGGCTTCGACGAGGGACTTCATCCCCATTCGACGTGGTCACCTCCCTGAACTCTTACTGCTCCACCATCGCAGGCAGCGAGCGCCAACTCCCAAGCACGTTATGGAGCCGAGACCACAGGTCCATCGCGGTCAAAGGCAAGACGGTGATCCTGGCGGACATCCCAAAGATGTACAAGAAGGTCATGGCAGAAGCCACATCGCTGTTGGAATCCCTCACTCAAGGCGCAGACACACAGATCTACGACAATTCCAGCAAGGACGATCTGGAGAACAGAATGCCTGGGTATTCCTTCCTGACCAACACCAGGGACAATCGTTTCGCCCTGATCACTCGTTTCCTTTCCGATCGCCAGTACGCTCTGGGACGGGAGAGGGGGGAAGTGAAATGGAACGCTGTGTTGACAGGAGACTGGATGAGAAAGGCGCAGGAGCTCAACATGTGCCTGCTTTTCCTCATCCATCTAGGGAGTGGACAGCCAGCTCGGGGCACCGAGATCCTTGGCATCCTGTTCCGAAACATGCAGAACGTCCACAGGAGCCTGTTCATGACCCCCGATGGTCTTGCAACGATCATCGGGTATAACAAGGTAATCTCCCCTCTCTCTCTCTAGCCACTATTGACATTCTCGAAACAGACAAACTCCACTGCTGGAGTGGAGCGATACATCCCACGCTTTCCCCACATCGATCTCAGCAACCTGCTCCTCCGCTATCTCGTTCACGTGCGCCCTACAGAGGAAGTGTTTGGCAAGTTCCTCTGGGGCGACGACGCCGCAAAGGTCCTCCATCACTACCTCTTCTACCACATCAACGGTCACACCCTGTGCACCTTTGACCTGACGAGCATCATGGAGAAACACACCGAGGCCCACCTAGGGGTGAAACTCAACGTGTCCACCTATCGACACCTGGCATCTGCAGTGGGTCGGTACTTTCACCTTGGCATCATCGATCTACATGATGACATCACGACGGGGATGGACGCCATGGCTGGGCACCAAACGGCCACCTCTGAGCTGATTTATGGACTGCAGCCGGAGGAGGTGGGTGGACTCTCACCCCGTGTCATCACCCTCTTCCGTGCCATGGCACGCCTGTGGCATGCCAAGGTGCTCGGACTCAACTTGGAGGGAAGAGTGGCCACGATGGACCAGATACTGAGTCGGGACTCCTCCATCGAAGAGCTGGCTGGCACTGCCCCAGTTCGCTCAAATCAGTTTGGCCTCAGGGATCTGGAGGCGATCGTCGACCAGGTGAAGGTGGCGTTCGACGAGTCCGTGACGACTCGCATCGTGCCAGATCTCATCAAGGCATTGGAGGACAAGGTCGCTGACAGAGTGTTCGTGGAGAGCATCCAACCACCCCAACAGCCACGGCAGATCCAGCAACCCCCACAGCCCCAGCAACCTCGGCAGCCTCCAAGCGAGGACGAGGACGACGATGACCTTTACCTCCCGAACCCATATCTCGAAGAAGAGACTCCCTCCATTCCCATAGAAATCCCCACTGACACGCTCGACAGCCAGTACGATGCCAACTCCCTTGCTCGGCTTCGCAGCATGCTCAGGGATTCCAATGCAACGTTCCGCTCCCCTGCGCAGTACCACGTTTACAAAAAGCTCTTGGAGCGCAAGGTGCACCTGGTCAACGTCTCCGCCACAGGCTCTGGGAAGACCCTTCCTTTCCAGCTTGCAGTGTACAGTTGGCCTGCAGACGTGAGGGCAGTGATGGTGCTGCCATACCAGGTGCTCCACGGCGACATGCAGCGGAGGATGCAGGAGATCCGGATCACATGTGGGAAATGGGAATCCGGACGGAACCCGAATCCTATGGAGAGAGTGGTGACCATCTCGCTGGAGTCGTTCTGTTCCGAAGCATGCACCAGCTGGCTGAGCGGAGTGGCTAAATCTGGGAAACTCGGGACGGTCATGTTCGACGAGGCCCATGGGCTGGTCGAAGATTCGGCGTTCAGGTCTTCATACAATGCGACCATCATGCAGCTGATGAAGCTGCCAAACTGCACCGTCATGTTCTGCTCCGCCACGATGTCCCCTCACCACATGGAGGGATTCTGGAAGGCCGTAAAGGTACAGTTCAGTCCTGGGACCTCCATCCAAATCATCCGTTCTCCCACCCAGAGGCCGAACATCTGCTACCAGGTCTTGAACATGCAGCTTGGGAGATCGCCTGGAAGGGACGATTCAGCCTTTCGTGGTTGGCAGCAGAGGTGGAGGGAGGCAACCGTGAGGTTCATCAAGGTCATGGAGAATCGTCTCGTGCGTCATCAGGGAGAGAGGGGATTGGTATACTTTGTCAGCGAGGAAGATTGTGCACTGTGGGGCGAGGCGTTGGGCTGCCCATCGATCAGTGGGAGCGTCAACGCTGCGACGAGACGGGATAGGTTCGCCGAGTGGAGGGGTGGGTTGCATGCCCTCATGTGTCTCAACAAGGCTGGATTCTATGGGTTCGACTATCCATCCGTGCGCTTTGCAGTCATGGTCGGAGCGCCATGGAGCATGTCCGACTACATGCAGAGCTCCGGTAGGATAGGAAGGGATGGAAAGGCCTCTCTCTGCATCACGCTGCTGCCAAGTGAGGAGCAGAAGGTAAAGTTGCATGCAGACACGTTTGGAGGGCACCAGTCGATCAAGCAGATGCTGCACGACACCACGAGGTGCCTGAGATCCTTCCCATCCCATCACATGGATGGCCGATCTGTGACGTGTTTGGAGTTGAGGGAGAAGTCGAGCACCACGGTGGCTGCATGTGGTGTATGTTTCCAATCTAGCCATGACGATGCGTCGCCATGGAACTCACCTTTGGGTAAGGCTTTCGATGCAATGTCTTTCCAACGATATCTGATGGATATTCTCAGACAAGCATGGAGGTGCCGCTCCTGCCGCTCCTGCCCCAGCTCCTGCCCCAGCTCGTGCTCCTCCTCCTCCTGCTCGTGCTCCTCCTTCTGCTCGTGCTCCTCCTCCTGCTCGTGCTCCTCCTCCTCCCGCTCCCCACACTCACACTCCTGCTCCTGCCCACACTCCTCATGCTCCCACCCCAGCCTCTGCATCCACACCCACTGCCAGTCACACTGCCCCAGTCCCCCTTGCAAAAACATCGACTTCCCTGAACGTCAACTCCGCCTTGCAGCATAAGAAGTCGGTTCATCTGCTGAACATTCCCCCCACACTGCTCAAGATCCTCCCACAACTGAAGCGGCATTGTTTGACATGTCTCACGATCGGAAAGCGTTCCACAGATCATGAGTCACACAAGTGTGCCTATTGGATCAGGGTGAAGTTGAATGGACAGCAAGCATTTGCATGGAAGAAGCAGTACTTTTGCAACCAGGGCGACAGGGGTTACTGCTACAAATGCCTCCTCAACCCAGATTTCGCTCCACTGCACGATGCAGCCCAGGCATGCCTGTACGAGGGGATAGCGTTCGAGATCATGTGGCTGATCCTCGAGAACGATGCCATGATCCAAGGACTGGCAGAGTACATGCATGATGATAGGTTACTGGATCAGGAATACCTGATCCAGTGGTTCAAACAGCCATACGATGGACAGAACCGGAAGTGGAGGAACGGTGCCACTCATGTGATTATGTGGTTTTTCCACAAATTCCTGTCTTAGTTGCCTCCCCAACTTTCATGTATTTTTAGTCAGAAGATCAATGGATCGTTTCCCCCCCATCAGCGGTTCTCGTAAGACTATGAGGCATCATCCTGATCCGACTCTGGCCCTTTGATCCGAGTGTTTCCTTATTCTTTGTTTCGTTCCTTTGATCCTGTCTCTCCCGATCGATCGGTGAGGGTTGGAACCTCACTTTGTCTATGTTTTTGGGCGATATCCGATGATGAGCGATCCCTGACAGTCCCTGACAGCGCTGCCAGAAGATAACAAACTAACAATGTATGGTGATCCCCGTTCCTCTCTGTGGAACGTCCATGGAAAGTCAGTTCGTCCCCTTGC